TCTAAAGTCACCTCTGGTTAAACTGGAGAATACACGTAAACCCAGCACGTCTTTCTCAGTCATCCTACAGAATTTAACTCAAGATTTAGTTAGGAATTCTACCAATTCTAAACAGCTTGGAACTACAAAATGCTTAACTACCATTATGGTAAAGTATTTTCTACTTGGTAAGACTCACCTTTAGAAAAGCACGAGGACACAGGAAATAGAAATGTGTCAGGCACACACACACACAGAAGGAGCCCACGCTAATGCCCATAGGGAACCACGTGTCTGCGCAGCCCATGTGCAGGGCCTGGCCTGTGCTGTGCGTGGAAGGTGTGATCCTGCATGTGGTCTCGAGGGATGGGACTATCATGGGCATCATGTGAACGGCGGCAGCGCTCTATATGAAAAACTAAACCGTGAGAAGAAACCTCATCCCACAGCTTAAAGCAATACAGATTCCAGACACTTCTGAGCAGCAATAACAAACATCTCGTGCAGCTACATGGGAATACTCCAGCCCAAAAGGAAAGCACACAGAGAACCCTGGTGGAGCCGGATGATGGCAGGGCCTCCTGGCTTCACCTGGAAATGACGCAGCTGCTCCTGGGAGGCAAAGCCCGGCAAAGCCGCTTCCTTGAAGTAACTGCCAGGTTATTTGATTTTACTGAATTTCATTTTATTATTTCTCTCCAGTAAGTCATTAACAACATCCACAAACCTCCTTCATGATGGAAAATATTACCTGTGTCTTTTTTTTCAACCAAGTAAGCAATCTGACCTGAGCTGTCTAATGGGGTTTTCCAAATTAACTAAATCTGGCTGGGCCCGGTGGCTCACGGCTGTAATCACAGCACTTTGGGAGGCCGAGGAGGGTGGATCACCTGAGGTCAGGAGCTCGAGACCAACCTGGCCAACATGGTGAAACCCCATCTCTACCAAAAATACAAAAAATTATCTGGATGTGTGGCGGACACCCGAAATCTCAACTGCTTAGGAGGCTGAGGCAGGAGAATCACTTGAACCCGGGAGGTAGAGGTTATAGTGAGCCGAGGTCACCACACCATTGTACTCCAACCTGGGCAACAAGAATAAAACTCCATCTCAAAAACAAAAAAAATTAACTAAATCTGTTCTCTATACCAGAGATGTCAGCACCCACTTACCAGGACAACTCCGCCTTCAGCTTCTAAGCATAAAACCAGTTTTCTCACCTGACAAAAGTTTTAGGTGAAGATCATCAACTTCCTTTCTCCCTTTCCAGCTCGACAATGTCCCTCTTCCTCCTCCCCTGCCAACTCCGGTACACACCACCTTCCCCACACCTTCCAGGGCTTGCCACATGTTACCGGGTATGTGACCGCTATCTCTATGGCAGCTTCCAGGCGGGCTGGAGGGGGCAAGGCAATCAGAACCACCTGCAAGAGGGCTTTATTCGGCAACAGGGCCGGTCCTACCCCGCAGCATCTGTCCACCTACAGGCTGAGAACTGCTCCTTGGCTGCACCAGAGGGTCCTAAGAATTAGGGAGCCCTGCCCAAGAGAGAACTAACTTTGTGAGAGAAAGAAATGGGAGACTCCTCAAAAACATAAACGTTACAGAACAGAGGGCATCACCTCCCTGCAAAGGGCCTAGTGTCCTACCCAGAGTCCAGTGGCTCCGTACAGGTTCTATCTGGGACGCAAACTCTACAGACCTGTGGTGGAATGAGAACAAAAGCTTTCGGCTTATTTGCTAGCTGCTGAAGTTTAACAGCTAAAATGTATTGAAAGCAGATCCATATTTATTTTGGGAGACTGAAAGGTTTCTCCGTCTCACAAGTAACTAATACAATCAAAACCCTGGCAAACACAGCGGTGCGCGAAGAAATACAGCGCAAGGCTGGACAATAAAAAGTTGCACCGAATCCATTCATCATTTCGGCCCACTCACCAGAGGCTCTGCAAGCCTGCTTCCCGCAGCTCGGCTCATAAATCCCCATCTCAGGCCCACTCTCGGGACTCTCCTCCCCCAGCGTTGGAACGAGGACGTCCTACTTACTGGGGCACCCCTGTCCCCAACTCAGCAGGACCCTCTGTGGACAGGGACTGAAAACCCAATCTCCTTCACCGCTTCCCCAGAAGCCTGGCACTGGGGGCCACGGCCTGCTCTGATGCCAGAGGAGGACCGTGCACCAGGCGGCCCGCACCAAACTGGGAAACATCTGTGTGCCATGAGTCAAGACAACTGCCAGGTCTCCAGGCCACTCCTGCCCCAGAGGCCTCGCCCTCCATCTACATGATCCAGAGAAAAGCTTCAAATCCATCTGGAAGCCAAACCTAAGGACATGGGGTAAGTGCAGACATGCAGACCACCCTGGAGGGGCTGGCTCCAAGGTCACCTGCCTGAGGGCTCACAGAGACCATTCAACCCTAGATCTGCCCTGTCTCACCCGGTCCTCACAGGAGCTGGTCCTCACAGGAGCACTTTCACCTCGCTCTCTACTGTAGCCCGGCAAAGTGTCACAGCATTGGAACCCCCACTTTAGAGACAGGGAAACTGAGGTCTAGGGATCTTGAGTAGCTTGTCATGGACACACAGCCACTATGTGGCAGAGTGAAGACCGGAATCCTGTGTGGCATCTGTATGGGTTCAGGGCCCACAGCCTTGACTCTACTGCATTGATCTAAAGGAGACCCAGAGAAGATGCCCTGAAGATGACAGCCTGCAAATCCGAGGACCAAGAAAAGTTTCACAAGAGGAGCAGTTTGGAACGAAGGTTAAGAGTTCAAAGGGGAGACCGGGTGCGGTGGCTCACACCTGTAATCCCAGCACTTTGGGAGGCCGAGGCGGGTGGATCACAAGGTCAAGAGATCGAGACCATCCTGGTCAACATGGTGAAACCCCGTCTCTACTAAAAATACAAAAAATTAGCTGGGCATGGTGGCCTTTGCCTGTAATCCCAGCTACTCAGGAGGCTGAGGCAGGAGAATTGCCTGAACCCAGGAGGCGGAGGTTGCGGTGGGCCGAGATCACGCCATTGCACTCCAGCCTGGGTAGCAAGAGCAAAACTCCGTCTCAAAAAAAAAAAGAGTTCAAAGGGGGTAGATTAAGAAGGTATTTGTACACTGAAGAAACAGAGTATGCAAAGGCAGGGAAAGGGAAAATGTGGAGTATGGAGTTGTACAAATGGCAAGTCCGCTCTTCTGAATAGAGTGCATTACAGGAAGGTGAGGTGGGAGGACGGGGAGGGCAGCTGGGGCTTTGAAAGCAGTCTGAAGGTTCAGGGCTTGGATGTCTACAGCAGCAGCGAGGCAGCCACCAGCACTGGGCATGAGCATAAATGCCCTCTGGATGCCCGGAGAACCACCTGCAGCCAGGGAGATGATCGGACAGCTATTTCACTAGCCCTAAGTGTATGGGCGCAAGGGGAGGTGCGGGATGCTTGGAAACCCACAGAAACAGAAACTCTTTCGCGGTAGCGTGGTGGGAAAGACACAAGAGAAGAAGGGGCTCAAGATGGCACCGAGCGAATCCTGCCCAAGAGGATGGGATGCCCCTGATGCACTGAGGGTAGGCAGGGAGACCTGGTGTGGGTCTGGGGACCAGCTGGGCTTTAAACAAGTTCTAAAGAGACTGATGAACTGCCCCAACCATGGCAGTACCGACACTGAGGGAGAGAATTCCGCTTTACCGTGGGGCCAGCCCATGTGTCCTGGGATGTTCGCTGGCATCCCTGGCCTCCACCCACTGGATGCCAGCAGCACCCACTCAGTTTTAGCAATCACAAATGTCTCTCATGGCAAAGCTGGGGGACAAAATTGCCCCCTATTGAGAACCACTGGCTTAGTGAGGAAGTACTGCCAAAAAAAAAAAAAGCCACTGCAAACAAGAGATCAGTCTGCAGGTCTCAGCTTGCAGCCATCTGAGCAATTCACGAAGCCGGCTGGTGAGCTCAGCACCCGACCGGAGGGATCAGACTACCCTAGGGACAGGCACTGTCCCCTCAGGCTTCACACTGCTCCTATGAGTAACAAACACTCTCTCAAACAGAATGCCCAGTGTAATCAAAGAGCCAGGTAAACACGGAAGTAAGATACTGTGAGCAAGAAAAAGCCAAAAAAACTTCATTAGCTTGTTCTTGAACTTTTTTTTCTTGGAAACTTTACAAAAGCTGACTGCCATCTTGGAAAAATATGCCACCAGCGTCCATGCTGACCAGATGATCAGTGTCCAATAGACAAGCAAAGCCTGAGACACTGGATGTATCCGATGCAGACAAAAAGGAACTCGATCATTTTTAAAGAAGTAAGAGACCCCGCTGGCTTGCTCACACCAGAGTAAGACAAAGATCCACCCACGTAACTGAGCTCCATGGTAATTTTACAACCCCGAAAATTCAGCCTTAAGTCAAAATGTTGGAAAACGATGGACTCTCAGTTTTTACTTTATATATTTATCGCATAATATTAAAATACATTGATATTTGATATGTTGTCAGTCCTCTATTTTAACATGTCACTTCACACTGGGCTAATCATGAAGCCTATATTCTATTTTCATTTTACAAACCAAAAGTCAAAGTAGGCCAGAATAATAACATAAGGTTTATCAGCAGACTGGAAAGTCAAAGTGAGGCTGAAGGGACTAAAAGAGATATTTATCTACCACAAAATATTGTTTCACTTTAATTTTCTCAATTCCACTTATTATTTCTGGAAAAAATCCCACTAGTTCTATTTTTCCTGGGCAATTCCTTCCCAATACTTTATTCTCCTTAGAAAAACAGCAGACCACTGCGCTACTCCCAAAGTCAACGGGGGGAAACATACACACTGCAGTTTTAAGTCTATAACACTCTCCAGAGCTGGCCTTAGTTCCCAAACCTCATCTTTGTTAGACATCCTGCAAGTCATCAATACTAAACACTTTATTACCAAGTCAGGAAAAAACAGAACCCTATCACATTCACACAAACCTCGACTAGACAAAACGCGGCTCGAAAGGTGGGAGGGCACAATGGTACAATCAATCACCGAGCTTTGAAGACATTTCTCTCCCCTCCCTTTTGGAGATGGATTCCCAGGCAGCGCTGGGAACCAAAATCTCAGGCTTTCTATGGTGGCCTGTGAGGCGGCACAGGCTCTCCCAGCAGCGGGTGCTGGGAAGCTCCTCATCTAATCACAGTCTGGCTGGGGGAGGATGTTCTGGAGGGCCTCTTCCCTACTCATTCTCAAGAGGAGGGTATCAAGAATTTGAAGGCGCTTCTGGTTGTCACAATGGCTGACGGAGTGATCAACATTCCAAGGGCGGGAATCAAGAATGCAGAATGTTCTACTGTCCCAAACAAGAGTGTCACCCTGCATCCTGTGTCACGTTCGAATGTCCTGCAACACATTCAAGTCTAAAATTAATAAGGCCCTAAAATATTCCACTTACACACAAACACATTTTCCACACAGTTCTGCTCTCCACAGAGTTTCCTAAGAATGCAACTATCTTGCAACTCAATGGAAAAATGAACTTCATTTTCTTTGAAACTTTACAAAAGCTGTCTGCCATTTTGGAAAAATTACACCACCAATGTCAATGTTGTCCAGATGATCAATGTCCAGTAAACAAAACTGTCTCAGCCTCCGTTTGTAGCTGCTGCGTTCCAGGTACGTGCACACCTGATTACATGACGTCTGCTAGCAGAGTCCTGTTCGGAAGGCATTATGATTTCATTACAAATTACTGCTCTTAAGGTTTTTCCTTTAAATAGTACATGTATATGCATATATCCACGAATTTCATTCCAGGACTGTAAAAGGCAGATTATAAACTACGAGTATTGAAAAGGAAACCCGAGATCTGATACTGCTGAAAATGATTAGGGTACAATGAGATGCTCCCAGCCCACACGAAGACAGGGAAACAAAACACATTTCTAAAACCTCCTTAAACTTAAAAAAAATTAGCTAGCTATAATATTTAACCTTTGATATCTAAACAATTTAATCAAATGTAGGGGGAAAAGTCTGTAACATTCAGACCGGGGGCAATGCTACAAAGAGAATAAAACATTTCAGCCCCCTGGATCCGACAGAACTCCAAGTCTGCTTCCACCTGAGTATGAGAAAAGCTGAAGCCAGAAACAGCTAAATAAAAGGTAATGCAAGTAGGCATAACTCAATAAAAGATATTACCTTCAAAACGCATTATTGTTGCCAATTATAAGAACCACTTCAACTTAATTTCAAAAGCACAATCACCCTCAACAGAAACAGTGTCTTTTTTAAATTTCCAGGAGCATTACATTAAGGCAATAACTCACCTTCCAGCCATAATATCACTCTCCCTCCCTTATTGCAACACCACATTTCATAAATACTTCTCATCGACAAGCCAAGCTAATTCAGGTTAATTTTATTGTATTTTGGTGCTATCTCACATTTGTGTGCAATTACCTTTATCATTTTATTGCCAAGGCAGAAAGTAATCAGAACAATTATTTGAAAACGGAGGTTTATAAATTCTAAATCACAGTTGCTGGCATTTTTGATAAAGCAGCAGCTTTATCTCGGGAAGTGGCAGGGACATGGGATAAATCATGCATCAGTCAAGTGTAGCTGACCCCCAAGTGCATTGCACAATATCAGAAGTGCTTCCAAAGAAACTTTCCTGCATCATCCATCATTCTTCATAATACTAAAATAGCTGCACACCTGAAGAATAGAAGCTGGAGGATAACAAAAAAATATCCAAGCGGTGTGGGCAAAACCATTCGCTGCTCTCCCTTTTAAACTATAAGATACGGTCTGGAAACTGGGCCGCGCACGTAAACAAATATGACTTTACAATAACTCTGAATATCTGTATTCATATTCGTCAACTCGGTTTTAAATATAAATGAAATATGGAGTAGGGCCATAAAAAGAAAAAGTGCAACTCTAGACTGCATGCATTTTTATGTTCTGTTTGGGTCTGCCTGCTTTTAGCGGCTGCCTCTCTAAGGTTTGAGTGTCTCGACATCTTGTTCTCTAGTCCTCATTTTGTTCTAAAGTTTATTGCTTAAAAAAATGTAAGTTGATTTTAAGGAAAAGAATAAAGAGAGAAGCTCCTGAATCTCCACGTGTAGTTTCCCCTAAGTTAATTACACTGACAGGGACACGGAAATTTAAGAAGGGAGGCAGCCCCGCCCCCAGTCACCTCTATCCACACAGGGGAAACATTCACCCCCAACCTCAGCTGCTGCCTTCCTGAGGGAAACATGACTCACACATCGCACCTCTGGCATATGTGAGCCATATTTTTTTTACTCGTTTTTATAAGGCAAAATAAAACAATTATGTGATTATTTATTTCCTTTTTCATCAAAAAGCAAATACCCCAGGGCAAGGCAGCTTCTGTACCTTTTGTAGGCAACCTTATGCCAAAGGACTATGAAAAGGTCTAGCTGGGTAGGAACAAATTGTATTAGCTATATCTGCCTGGCACCGGGCCAGGCGCTTTACATGCATTATCTCATGTACTCCTCACAGCAGACCTCAGGAAGATCACACGATCTGTGGATGAAGATGCAGACAGGCAGGTTAAGGAGCTAGCTGAACGACACAGCACTCTGGGGGTGGATGGGTCTTCAGGGTCAAGTCAACATTCTTCAAAGCCTGGACTTTGGCCAGGACTCTCCCCAACCTCAGGGACACAGACACACTCCACACTGTACTAGTCAGGATGGCACCACCAAACCCACTATAGATGCATGCTATCCCCAGCAGTGGCCTTGGTTCACACAAGCTCGGCACCACAGGCTGCGTCCATCCCGGCTCACAGCTGTCCCAGTAACACACGGGGAAGAGAGCCACCAGCTGGTGTGCACACACATCTACCAGGAAGCACCACATGCCACTCCAGTCCACGCTCATTAGCCAAAGCAAGTCCACGACAGAGCCACCCTCGAGGGAGTGGACCGGTGTGGTCCTCCTGCATAGCCAGCAAAGGGGACCTGAAAACAAGGGTGAGCCCTACCTCCCCCGTCTGCCATAGACACTAATGCTGTTAAATTCAGGCTCACTTTCAAATCAGAGTACCTGTTGGACAAAACGCATGTTCAGAATTCTGGGAATGGTCATGGTGACCATGGCTGTCACACCATTAAAATCATCACCTGCCAGCAGGTGCTTTGATGGAAGAAAGCCCATGGTTGCTTATCTTGATGATAAACAGAAACACGAAAACCAAAGGCAAGGTGAGTGAGTGACTGACTTACCAATAAATGCATAAATCCACGAGGCAGATAACAAGGAGTAATCACTATAAAAACAAACCAAGGGCTCAAGCCTGTAATCCCAGCACTTTGGGAGGCTGAGGTGGGTGGATCACGAGGTCAAGAGATCAAGACCATCCTGGTCAACAAGGTGAAACCCCGTCTCTACTGAAAATACAAAAAATTAGCTGGGCATGGTGGTGCCTGCCTGTATTCCCAGCTACTCGGGAGGCTGAGGCGGGAGAATTGCCTGAACCCAGGAGGCGGAGGTTGCGGTGAGCCGAGATGGCACCATTGCACTCCAGCCTGGGTAACAAGAGCGAGACTCCATCTCAAAAAAAAAAAAATCAAGCCCACCAATTAAAAATCTCTGACATTGAAACCCGCTGTTTCGTTAACTACAGTCACCCTCAGCACATTTTCCAAACCGCTGCAAAACATACCCTCCATTTTCAGGAGATAAATACTTCCTCTGTCTTGAAAGTGATGACTGCTGTCCCTCACCACGGGACATATGTCGAGGTACAACCTTCAGCCTAGAGAAAAGAAAGGTGTCCTCCTCACCCCTCCCCACCACAGGAGGCAGGATAGCTCTGAGAGGTATCAGGACCCAAACCCAGAGGGGGAAAGGGGAAAGGAGGCAACGTTGAACCGGTGACTACGTGGACACCCCTCACTTCCAGTCGCTGCTGTTTCTAGGTTCACTGGGGTAACGCTGTCCAAGACAACTGCCACCAGCTAAGAGCAAGAAAGGACCTGTGTGCAAAGGATTTCGATGCAAGAATTGCCAGAGATTGTCAGTGGACTCTGACGCCAGGCAGTGACCAACCCGTCACTGAGCTCATGTTTTGGCTTTACTCTATCTCTGTAAGTCTGTACAAGTCTGTAGCTCTATAATACTACCTAGTTTTAAAATTACGTGAAAGGTGTCGATGAAACAGAAATCACATTAATCAGAGATACTGAATTGTTTAGGCAAAGTAACCCTGAATCCTGTTGTCACACACCTAACGTTTGGGCTGGCGACGTCTGTAATCCCAGCACTGTGGGAGGCTGAGGTGGGCAGATCATTTGAGTTCAGAAGTTCAAAACCAGCCTGAGCAACATGGTAAAACACTGTCTCTACAAAAACATATAAATATTGGGAAGACGTGGTGCTGGGTACCTGCAATCCCAGATACTCAAGAGGCTGAGGCGCAAGGATTGCTCAGGAGTCAGAGGTTACAGTGAGCTGAGATCACACCACTGTACTCCAGCCTGGGCAACAGAGCCAGACCCTGTTTCAAAATAAATAAACAATAAAGTTAACATTTGAAATAATAATAAAATCAATGCTTACAATATCCCATGGAGAGAAGAGATACTGTAATCCATGTGTCACAGATGAGGAACCCAGCACACCGCAGGTGACTCACTTGCCTCAGGTCTCATTTCTAGCGAGCCGTAGAAGCATGAAGTCAGGCACAGAGATTCCAAGTGCCAGAACCCCGTCTCTTCACCACGGCACCCTCCTGTCGGTGAAGCGGCCCAGGGAGGCAGCCGCCCAGGGTCTGGGTCCCAGACTGGTGTGAATCCCCCGCCCAGTTCACCCCACCAGAGCGCACGCCTCTGTGTCAGGAAACCAGGTGGTGCCCAAATCAGCACCAATGAGGACTTTCTAAAAAAATGTGCCACTGGTATTCCTCTACATTGCTGGGGAAGTTTTAAAAATCCAATCTTTACGCCTTTTCCAATCCCGAGATTTATAATGTGGGTCCATATTCAAAAGTTTGTGCCAAAAAGAGTGTAAGAAAAAAGAAGATACGCTTAAGAAAGAATTAGGAAACATCCAACCTAGTAATATACAATAAGTGAATCTTCAGGACAATTAACTCCAAATTATTTTTCAATCAGTTCTATCCTCTCCCTTCCAAAAACAAGACCTAATATATATGCATATATCCCACAATTTTCAGTCACCTGGCAAAAACTGACAATAAGGGTGTATTTCCATCAGCTATTTCATAGTCTTTTGTCAGAGTAAACCCAGTTCGAGTCAAAACGTGATGAGGCAGGAGTCTAGGGATCAGATTCTACATGGTACAGCATCCATTAAAGTCTCCAGCACTTCACAAAACTTTTGTGTTCTATAGCAATGAACACTGCATCACCCTTAATGTTAAAATATAAACAGATCTTTTAAAGGGTTTTGGGTTCATCTAATTAAGTTTCATAGTTCTGTTTACAACAGAGAATTAAGAATCATAATGAATCAGATGTAGGTATAAAGTATGAAAGAGTCCACAAAAATGGGACTTAGAAAATTAGATAAAGAAAAAAATCTCTAAATTAGCATAAAATGCTATTAAAGGTAATTATTATTCTTTACATAACAACAGTAGAAGGTCTTCACTGTTTTATTTTGTTTTCCACATGCAACAATAGGCTACTTGAGAAGTCGGCTAATTAGCTGGTAAATCCATTTGGAAACATGCTTTCAGTTTCCCAAGAGCCAAAGTGAAAGCTAAGAAACAAAGTAAGTAATGAAACAAAAGGATTTCATTTTCTGACTATTCAAGTCCAAATGTCAACCCTACATTCCTAACCATGTTTACAGAAGAATTCTGTAGATTGAAGCTTTCTCAGCAAGCAAGCACAGGAAATACTGCTCTTCACAAATACAGCTTTTCCTGCTAAGCCCCATCTGCATCTAGCAGCTGAAACACACGACACAGGTTTTACCAGATTCTTTTTAAAAGAAGCCACCATGCAAGCAAACATACTGCAGAAGAGCGCCAGGTTTCTCAATGTTGGAGAAGGGAGCTGCAAAGAGGAAAGGGCAGAGATTAGAATAAAACTGCTGTGTTGAATTCAAGCTAGAGGCATTAGATGAGCGTGCACTTTTTAGCATGCATGCAGACGGCAGACACAGAAGAAAATACACATGCATGGGTCAGCAGACACACACGCTGCCCCTAGCTCCTCCCACTGAGAAGGGCAGAAGAGCAGCGCCTCAGCAGCCGTGAGCACACTCACCACCCAGATCTTGGCTGCTAAACATCATTCTGCAGCTAAAATGAACTGAGGCTCCTTGGAGAAGTGACTGAATCCAGGGCTGAGGCAGGGAAAACACAAGATAAGCCTGGTTCATACTGTGGTGCCAGAAAGAAAGAATGTGCTAGAAAAATGACAGCCAGGTCCAAAAGACGTAGGAGCCAAACTCAAGAGTTTCCCAAAAGCCAAAGTGGAGGCTCTCTGAGGAAGAAAATAAGTAGACAGCACTGACCTACACCCCAGAAAATAAAATAAATATCCATGAGAGTAGACTGATGTGAATAATTCAATGACTAATAAATAAATGGGAAAGAAGAGACAGCTCTTCCTTACAGAAGAGCTCCCGTCGGTAAATGAAAAGAGAAGGAGGGAAATACAAACATAACAGAAACAGCACAGTAATAAATGTTGCAAGCAAGACACACCCATGGTCACTAAGATGAGTGGGTGAAAGCCTGAGCAGAACCAAGATGGTCTCAAAATATCTCGCCCAAGGTACTAAGTACCAATGGGAAAACATAAATTACCAAGGGAGAATGCACAAGAGATTCACCTTACCCAGTGACCACAGTTAACATCACAGTTAACCGTCAGTTAACCGATGGACAGACATACATCCCCAGGACAGGATGCCCCAAGAGGGCACATCACTTCTGTGCCATCTTACTGAAAACATGTAACCTCTGTCTCTCTGAGACAACATCAGCAAACCCAAATGAGAGGCATCCTACAAAATACCTAGCCAGTATTCTTCAAAAGGGTCCAGGTCACAAAAGACAAGGCAAGAGGAACTGCCACAAGGTAGACGTCTTAGTTCCTTCTGGCTGCTGGAATAAAATACCTTAGACTGGGTGTTTTGTAAACAACAGAAATTCATCTCACTCATTCTGGAGGCTGTGAGGTCCAAGACCGAGGCACAGCAGCACCGGTGTCTGATGAGGGCCCTCTTGCTGATTCACAGACAGCATGTTCTGGCTGCATCTTCATGTGGCAAAGAGGACAGTGAGCTCCCTCGGTCTTCTTTTATAGGCACACTAATCCCATTCTGAGGGCTCTGCCCTGACCTAATCATTGCCCAAAGGCCCTACCTCCAAATGCCATCACCTTGTGGAAAGGACTTTGGAGGAAACAATTTCAGGCCATTGCACTAGAGGAGACAAAGGAGAGATGGCGAGGTTTGCAGTAGTGCACCCGTGTTAATGCCCTGGTTGTGGTAACTGTGAGGTGTTAATGCTTGCAGAAACCAGACAATGGCTGCATACAGAAACTCGGTGCTGTTTGTGCAACTCTTCAGCAGGTCTAAAATTTATCTCAAAATAAAAAGTCCTCCCAAAAAGCCACTCCGTTGTCATCTGTGAACATGCAGCGTCTAATCTGATCCCAAAGTCCTGCCATTCCGAATGGGAGAGAGGACCAGAACGGTGTGAAGAATCTGCAGAGCCCTTCCCACACCCTCGCTGCTGACCACAGCACCATACCAGCTGACTGGGGAAGCACAGAGCTGTGCACCACCCACCATGAAAACCCTCCCCTTGCCTCTAGGATCCAGAACTATGACACTGTACGTCTGCCTCTGAAACATGCTGCTGCAGAGATGGGGGAGTGGTACGAGCTGTGGCTAGGAAATAAAAAGGTTAAATAGATCATAAATTGGGATTAGTGTCAGCTGGCCAACAGCTTTATATCACATTATAAATTAGATCAAGAAATGATGCTTCCCTGCTAAAATCAGAAACCATTCAGAGTGTTTGCTTCAGAACTTCTACCCCCATAGGCTTTCCTTGCCAAAAAGGAAAAAAAAAAAAAAAATGGCCAGGCACAGTGGTTCATGCCTGTAATCACAGCACTTTGGGGAGGCCAAGGTGGGAGGATCACTTGAGGCCAGGAGTTCAAGGCCATTCTGGGCAATGTAGAGAGATGCTATCTCTACAATTAATGTTCTTAAAAAAGAAAAAAATTAACAAAACAAAACAAAAATATATTCCAAGATCCCTTTTAATGTGCAGTAATTAAAGGGGAAAAGTCACAGATGATGAATGAATTTATTTAAAGCAACCCCAAATGCTGGCTCCCTCGTGGGTTATTTCTCTTTGCATTTTTTCTCAGGAACCTCTAGAGAACGGGACAGGCAGCCTCAGTGCTCCATCCACATTCCACGGCTGCATGAGCTGATGCGACAGAAACCACGGAGACCGTGGCCCAGACTGCACCACCCTGAGTGGGTTCCAGGTCAGGCCACCTAGAGAAGATGGAAATAATGGCTAGAGATGGCTGCCAGTATTTTATTTAGACATTTTTACAAGGAAGCCAGAGGTTGCAAGCACTGCTAGGATAGCTACACAAATTCTAATTTTACTAAAATGTTATGTCCCCTGAGCCAAGGTATTAATCTTGTTATAAAAGTAGTCTCTCCACTTGCTAGCCATTCATTAAACTTTCATCAATTTTAAAATGTATTATTGTTATTGGAGCCTATGGAAAAGGCAAATAGCATCCAACACTAGGGCAAGATCAGACCAGCTTTTGGAGGGGATGGAACAGAGGAAGACTCAAGAGTGACAATGAAAATTCCAGGCATTCAGGTTTCCCGAAATATTTATGAAACAGTTTTCAGCTTGTAGCAATGTTTGATCTCTAAGAAATAAATTACCAATTATTTCTTCAAGGGTGAGGACAAATTAAAAGGGAGATTCCAAATGGCAAATACTAAAACAAAACCGCCTCCCATTGCTCTGTGCTCTCCGAAGACAGCCGTGTGCAGGAGGACGCCCGCCAGTGCCAGTCCCCAGCCGCAGGGACCTCTAGGAATGTCTCGTGCAGTATCAATCTTGTCAGCCACATGCCATCCATCCACGGCCGGCGGGACGCTGGGGAGGACACCAGACTCCGGCCTGCGAATGCTCTGGGAATGTCATTACATTCTCTGTTTACTGACCAGATGCAGGGCTATTTCTGCAGGAACTTACATCCTGATGAAGTTCTGATGTCATTTGAACTACGTGAAGAAGCTCTGCTGAGAAAAAAGGGAAGAGGAATCCTGGTGCAAAGAGATAAGCCTCTGACGGGCCAGATTCCACACACATTTGACAGGGAAGGCACGTCCCTGCATCGTTTCTCTGCCTTTGTGTAATATCGTGTAATGTTATGATTTTATAAAATGGCTGCACACTTTTGGAGTAGGACCTATCTAAAGAGATGAGAATTTTCTTTCTCTGCAAGCAAGCAGGAATTAAAAAGTTCAGCAGTCCATCGATCATCAGGTGATGGGTCACAATCAGCAAATGAAATGTACAAGTTGGTCTCTCGTCACCTGGCCTATAAAAGCTTCCGATCCGTGGGGTAAAAATGCACCGACTGTAATCAGCACTCCATTAGAACAAATAAAACCAAACACCTAATTACCAAGTGACTATTTATAGTGTCTAAAATAACTTAACCCAGTTTCACAAAGCAGATATTTTAAGATTCAAAGAAACGCCCTGCTCTGTTCTAGAATTAGGTGCGTTTATTTTGCTTAGACCCAGAGGATCAAGAGTTCTGTAACTCTAACGTACATTATTTGTAGCATGAATTCAAATAATTAGTCTCATTTACAAACAGCAATCACTTACAAAAGAAAACGGAATCATACATTTAAATTGTTAATCCTGAAAAAAATTCACAGCCTGGTTTAAAGGAAGACTGCAGAGTCAAGGAAAGAAGGTATGCAGGGCTCAGTAATATCTTGAGTTTACTTAAATGGTTTTGCAAAACTAGCTCATGCCAGCACAATCTTTTATTCTTCTTTAGTGCCTTGTTCAGGCAAATTCCTTTCCCCACAGGGGTGGCACCCCTATTGACACAGCACAAAGAAGGAAGTTTGTGACTTGTGGCCACCCAAAAAGGAGCTCCTGGTGTTCAGAGGACTCACGGTATAAAATAAAGGAACAAATTAACAACTAAATACAAACAAGCAAAGAAAACCAGATGTCAGGATGAGAATAGACTCTAAAGACCACTTGAGAGCGGTGAGCAAGCATGGTATCCATCTAGACCGACTGCGTCCATACACAGCTATTAGCCACATGTGGCTACTTATTTAAATTTAAATTAATTGGAATGTAATAAAATTTAAAATTCAGTTTCTAAGCCACAGGAGTCCATTTCAAGTGCCCAGCAGCCAATGTGACTAGCGGCTATCATATTGGGCAGCAGAGACATAGAATATTTCTATCATTTGCAAACACTTCTGTTGGACAGCTGTGGCCAGCCCTGTCATCATACATATTAGGGAAGCTGAGACCCAGAAGGTGAGGAGGACTCGAAGTCTATGATAAGCCAGGAACCCAGAGTTCACTGGCTGAGTGCAGCAAGTGGCTGGCCACTGAGCTGGTCATTCAGGTCAGCCCAGGGGAAGCTTGAGCGCCACGTGGTCAGGAACCCATCTAGACAGTTCAAGTTCAGGGTCCAGCGCACACCCCACCCACTCCCCAGGTGACTGAGTTTTCTTGAATGAAGGTATGAAAAAAAATGACCATATCACTACTGGGGCTTCAAAATTATACAACACAGTCCTGAGCTCAAGAAGCTAAGAGGCTGGTTAGGAATTTCTCAATGTAAGACACAAGGCATCTTCTCTGTGCGTTGAGTTCTCAAAACACTGTATTAAACATCTTTGTGCACAAAATGTTAATTAATTCTTTAAAACAGAGTCGCAGATATGAAACTGCCCTAAATTCCTAACAATGGAAGAACGTTGTATCTTTACAGTAGGACACTATCATCTCCAAAAATGATATTAATGAAGAGTTCAATACATGGCTAAGCATTTACAAGGTCAGGAGAAAAAGCCAAACACACAACTATGATGATCCCACGTGCAGAAACAACTGGGTGTGAGTGTGCAGGTGGTGTCGATGCATATAGGACAAGCCTCTAGCTCTCACTCAGCACTGTCCCCTAGACAGCCTTGCAGCAAACCTCTCCGAATAGAGCTGCTTCTCAGATTGAAGCCAGAAAAATACATATTACTAAGCTGGATTAGAAGACAACTTTGACAGCCTCCCCCAGATCCCACACTGGACCTGGTGCACAGTGACCCCTCTTAAAACCTCTCTAATTGGCTGGTCGTGGTGGCTCACGCCTGTAATTCCAGCACTTTGGAAGCTGAGGCGGGCAGATCACAAGGTCGGGAGTTCGAGACCAGCCTGGTCAATATGGTGAAACCCTGTCTCTACTACAAATTCAAAAATTAGCCAGGTATGGTGGCGGGTGCCTGCAGTCCTAGCTTCTCGAGAGGCTGAGGCAGGAGAATCGCTTGAACCTGGAGGCAGAGGTTGCAGTGAGCGGAGATCGCGCCACTGCACTCCAGCCTGGGCGACAAGGCAAGACTCCATCTCAAACAACCCTCTCACTGATGGAATCCATATTGGAATGCACATTTGAGGATACTGATAAGAACCTATCTAAGGATATATTTTAATATTACTTTTTCTAAATCTTCAAGATTTTATCTGTACTCATCTTCTGGTAGCTTTACACAAAAACATTATCAACCCAGTTGTTCTGAGAAAAGTGGACTAAGGGACTATGATACACCAGATACTGAATAAATGGCAATGTTTCAAAGCTTCCTGGCTGGACTCTCTAGCAAGGAGGAGCAATCCAAGGGGAGCTGGGGCACTCGGGAAAAGGAGAGCAAGCCAGGGCCAGAGTAAGCAGCAGGAAGGTGGGCAGCATCAGCAGAGAAGGAGCACACCGCCAGGACCTCCAGACACTCTGCTGGGGCCTCCCTGATAGCCTGGGAAAGACAACCTGGGGCCCCAGGTGGAGCCAGAACGCTTTGAAAGTCCTAGATTTGAGTGGTGCTGCCTTGAGACCCCCTGGTTCCAGGCAACAGAAACCCAAACACCCACCCTTAAAGAAAAGTAGCAAAAACCATCCCTGATTTAGGCACTCAGGAGTCAAACAGATCAGGCTCAGCCCATATGACTTCATAATCAACCAAGTCACCAAACAAAGCCCCATGTCTTCATGAGAGTTACAAGAAATCACAGACAGATGAAAACCACAAAGCCCACACTGGACCCACAGGGTGCAGATATTTAAAGCAACTGGTCTAGAATACGAAATAAGCATTGATGAAATGTGTAGGCAAAGGAAGATAGACGATGGGAGAAAGCAAAGATTTCAGTCAAGATTTCAATCAAACACTCAGAATGAACTTTTATTTCCAAGCAAAATGAACCAACAGAGGTAGCCCAATGTTCCCACAGGAACCGGAAAAAGTCAGAAGAATGACAAAACTAATCTTCTAAAATGTTGTAGAGCTGTGGAAGCAACCAGGACTAGGGGAACTGGGACTGTGCAGTGGAGACTGCCCTTTGCTGCCCAGAAAACACTCGCTGACCCTGGGTGCAGACGGGGAACAGCGTGGCAGCCCACACAAAGCCACTCCACCTGGGAAGGGAAACCAGGGAAACTCTGAGTGGTCTCGTGGGGATGGCATGAAAGAGCAGAATCAGAGGAACCCCAAAAGTGCAATCAATTTGCCATCTTGCAGGGCTCTGTTCATAAGCCTGGGGAGTTGGGTCAAGGGAGGGCTTCTAAAAGGAAAAGTGTACTCTCCCTTAATCTAATGGCACTTAGGAGACGGGTGGGAGGAGAGGTGGGTGGAAAGATAGCTGGGGTAGAGAGAGAATGGCCTGCTTCAAACATAGTCACATCTCCCATCAGGACATTTAGCAGACTTTGAAGTGGGGAGGTGGGAAGCTAAAGAGCTAAGCTCAAAACCTGCTAAGGGGAGAACCAAGGGATCTCCCAAAGTGTTCACAGGCTGAGGAGAGAGAGACCAGCAGGCTTTCAATCAAAAGACCATGCTCAAAGGAAAGGTCCAACCAGGAACTGAGTTTTAGTAAAATCACAGGCCGCTCCTGACCAGATCAATCCCTCATGAAACCAAGGTCCTTCACTCCTCACCCCATGTGTGTATCCAAGGGCAAAGAGAGCTTTTGCTTTGATGGGAAATATGACTATCCAGAGGCTTTACAGTCCTTTACACACAAGTTCAGCAAACAATTATGATTTTAAAAGCATGCAAAGAATAAAAACACATATGATAATAAAGTGTTTAATGATAATAAAGAGAAGGGAAAAAAGAAGGAAATACAGAGGAACAGATGTCCTTAATACTGGTGCTAGCAGATAAGAACTGCAAAATAATTATGATGGATACACTTAGTAATAAAAGGAAAAGACAGACAACATAAGTGGGAAAGTGAAGAACTTTAAATATAAAATTGAAATACTTATTAAAGTAAAAAACAGACATTCTAGCACTGAAACATACAAAATTTGTAATTCAGGATTCATTGGATGACTTCAGTAGCAGACTAGATACATCAGAAAACAAGGTCCATGATACGCCGGACGGCTCAGCAGAAATGTCCAAACTGTGGCACAGAAAGGCTACAGCAATGGACAGCAAATGACAGAGATCCCAGGGACAGTCTAAAGTACCAACCCACCTGTAACTGACATCCCAGAGGAAGGACAGATTAGATGAAGCAGAGCAGTATTTGAAGGCATCGGGGTCAAGAATTTGCCAATAGGTAAAGAGCAATCCAGAAAGTCAAGAGGTTCAGCAAACCCTAAACAGAATAATTATTAAGAAAACCACAATGAACCATAACCCAATTAGCTTCAAACCAAAGAAACAATGTTAAAAGCAGCCAGAGGAAAAAATTTTGTATTACCTTCAAAAGTGCAACAAATAGACTGACAGCTGACTTTTCAGCAAACTTCAGAAACTAGAAGACGATGGAATATCATATTTTAAAAGGTGAATAACTGCTAACTCAACAATCAATAGCCATTAGTGTTTAAAAACGGAGCCACTGCTAGCTGACTCGCATAAAAACTAGGTAACAAACAAGTCCCTCAAGCAGAAGTCAGCCTAGATAGAGGCATGATGGTGAAGAAGCGATGGAGGACACCAGACTTGGTAAGCACAGGGCACAGTGACACAAACACCAAACGTTTAAACAATGACAACGGTGGCTACTGCACTTAAAATGCCTACATAATTAAAATGCAACAGCACTCAAGCTTGGAGAACGGGAAATGACTAACGTTTTGTAAGGTATTTTACTGCTCAGGAAGTGGCAAAGTAGCAATTTAGGTGAACTATAGGTCCAGGGTGTATACTGTAAAATCTAGGGTAACCACTAAATAGCAAATACAAGTCTGCATAACCAGAAAGAGGAGAAAAAAGAATTTAAAAAGTACTTCATTGATCAAAAAAGGAAAATTAGAAGTAAACAAAGATGGGTCAAATAGAAGACAGGTAACAAAATGGTAAAAGTCAGCTCCACTGTAATTATTTTAATGTGACTGGACTAAGCAATTCAATTAAAAAATAAAGGCTACCAAACTGGATATTTTAATAACTGTATTACTTTACACACATTTTAAATATAAGAACAAAGGCTGAAAGTTAAAGTGTGGAAAAAGACTATGCAAAAATAAATATAGCCTCATATAATTAACCTAACCGACTTTTTAGAAATAATAATCTTGTAACAATAAGAAATAAAGAATAAAGAATCTTAAAAGCAACTAAACCACTACTTTAGCCAAAGTTAAAAGCAACAAATTAATAAGCCTGGTCTAGCAGGTGTTTAAAGGATGAAGCTTAGTGGCCAAGTAATGTTCATCCCAGGAATGCAAAGATGGTTTAACGTTAACAAATCCATAGAAGTCATAATCTACACTAACAGATATGGGAGTGGGAATCACATAAACAGTTAAATAGATGCAGAAAAATCACTTAACAACATTCTAAGCCCATTCATAATTTTTTAAAAGTTTTTAAGGAGCAGTAGAGGAGAAGGAGATTAAGAAGTTTTCTTTAGCGCTAAAATAGTTTCTGACAATTTTTTGTTTCCCTCCTGAAGGAAAGAGAAAGAGAGAGAGTGGAAAGAGAAAGAGAGAAAGAAAGAGAGCAAAGAAAGAGAAACAAAGAGAAAAGAGAAATGAGAGAAAATAGAAAAGAAAGAGAGAAAGGGAGGAAAGGAGAGAAGGAAGGGAAGCGGAAGGAAAGGGGAAGGGAGGAAGGAAGGATTGATTGATTGACTGATTGATTCAGACAACCAGAAGAGAAAGAAACTTCCTTTCTACCAAAATCTATAGCAAGCATCATTTTTGGGAATGAAGAGTTAGCAGTTTTCCCTAACTTATCTATCAAGATGAGTGCACATCTACTTAAAATGGAACTGGAGATCCTAGTACAATATGAAGAGTAAAAGAAAGAAATGGTTTACAGAGTAGAAGTTAATTAAAAAGTAAATTAAATATAAGATGAAGACACGGAAATGAATAGCATTTCCAACGTATCAGTCATAAATAAAAATCTAATCCTAGAAAAAGTTACTATTTATAACACGAATGGCAACAACAAAAAAATAAGGACACAGGGAAAGAATTTCAAAAGAGGCACAAGCTCCTAATGAAAAAAGTTATTAAAATGTGAGAGACATTAAGGAAACGAGAGAGGAGAATGCATGCAAGAGTGCATATTCCTGAAGAGGAAGATTCACATTAATAAAAACTATTTTCCCCATATTAGTCTACAGATCCAAGGACCTCAATCAAAATTCCAAAGGGGAACACATGGACACAGGGAGGGGAGCATCACACACTGGGGTCTGTCGGGGGGAAATAGGGGAGGGACAGAGGGGGGTGGGGAGTTGGGGAGAGATAGCATGGGGAGAAATGGCAGATACAGGTGATGGGAAGGAAGGCAGCAAATCACACTGCCACGTGTGTACCTATGCAACAATCTTGCAAGTTCTTCACATGTACCCCAAAACCTAAAATGCAATAAAGAAAAAAATATATTAAAAAAGAAATAAAAAAGAATTTATGAGACGCATCAGAGATAAATAAAATAAAATGTAATGTTTCCCAGGAAAAAAAAAATACCAAAGGGGTTTTTCTATGAATTTGACAAGCTTATTCTGGAATGTGCATGGATGAGCAAAGGCCCAAAAAGAATCAAGAAACTGCTGAAGAGGAAAAACAAGATATGAGGATTTACTCGCCAATTTTAAGAGTTAGCCTAAAGCCATAGTAACTAATGCATTGTGGCATTAGTACAGACAGACAGAAACGGCAATGGAGCAGGAGAGCCCAAAACAGACATACATCCACTTGGAATAGGCAGTGGCTCCAGCACCATTCACTGCGTATCTCCTCATTTCTCCAGGTCTCTGCAGTGCCTCTCCTGCCCGATATCTGCATGTCACATGTTTGTCATATATTTGCAGTGAAGCCACTGCAGAGTCCTGGGCAAAGGAGGAGTTACTCAATGCACGGAGCAGGAGTCACTGATTATTCATACTAAAGAAGAACTGAACTTTGTCTCCATACCAAAAGCAAAAGTTAATTCCAAATGATCTGCAGACTTGTATACGAAAAGGAAAACTGATACTTTCACAGAAAATAGCGGAACTGTTATGACTGGGAATAAGTGAGGGCTTTGAAACAGGCACAAAATGTGCGAACTGTAAAGGAAAAGAATCATAAATTAAATTACATTCAACTATATTAAAATTAGAAACTCCTCTCCATCAAAAGGCACTATAAAGAATGAAAATACAGGCCACAAACTGGGAGAAGACAATTTCAGGCCATATAACAGGCAAAGGATTCGAATCCAGACTATATAAGATAATCCTATCGTTAATAAGAAAAAGAAAATCCAACCGAAATATAGGCAGAAAGGGTATGAGCAGACACTTTGCAAAAGAGCCCTGATGAATGGCAAGGTGAGAAGATGCTGAAGGTCCCTCGCAATCGGAAGTGCTAATTAAGATCAGGATGAGACAGGATGTTTTACCCAGTAGGTTAGCAACTGTGAGTAGCATGATAACTCCCAGTTTGGGTGAGGAGGTGGATTAACTGCCTGGAGTCTATCTGTTTTAACCATTTTTACAAAATTATCGTCCTGTAACACTGAACACTGACCCTCCAATGATTCTCCCCTAGAGTAGAATGAGAGAAACTTTCAAAACTTAATCATTTGACATTGAGAAGCAGCTTGGCCTCCCACTGCTAACCATATAGGGGTGTGTGTGCGCGCGTGTGTGTGTGTACATATACATGTAAATACTCTCAATGTCTAGGCTCCAACTTATACACATAGGAAGCAGAGAAATACAACCCACAGTCAGGAGAAAATATATATACATACACCTACACGGTTAGCAGTGCATAAACAAAATGAAGACATAGGCACAAACTGGGAGAATTGCAGCCCATATACCTGACAAAGGATTAGAATCCAGACGATATAACATAATCCTATAAATCAACAAGAAAAAGAAATCCCAACAGAAATACAGGCAGAAAGGATACGAGCAGGCATTTCATATATAGTGTGTGCGCATATATGTGTATGTATAGTGTATACACGTATACATTATATACACTATATATGTATAATATATACATTATACATGCATATATAACATACACTATACATGTGTGTAATATATATACATTATGTATATTATATATAGTATTTACATAATTATATACAACATATATGTAATGTATACAATATAGACATAATGTGTATATATACAATTTTTTGTTTCCCTTCTAGAGGGAAGAACAAAAAGAAAACACAATCCAGAGAAGCAGAAGAGAAGGAACCTTCCTTTTTACCAAAAGTGTATAGCAAGCTTCATGTTTGGTAAATACAATGTATATATTATACACACATACATTCCTATTCTTTAAAACACATAATCCAAAACTTTGCAAGTAAACCCTTTTTCTCCTTTACTTCCCAGCAACCCCGGAGACATGGTGTCACTGGGACAATTTTGGCCTTTACAGAACCAGAATTCTCCTGGAAAACTAACCGTTCCTCTGAGAAGCCACCTGCAACCACAGCAACCGGCACAGCCACTTCCGTTCCTCAAACTCACGTGGACACCCATGAGAGCACGGGCAAACCAGCCAAGGCGTCCGCAGGTCCCCACACACTTACGCAGAGCCCCTACTTACTCTTTGCCAAGAGAGGGCATGGCTGCAGGAAAAGTGTCATCTCAACAAGTAGGCGAATGCTGGCTGGTTGATACCAGCTATCCAAGTAGCCCAGGACAAAAGACAGCCCTAGGTGATTCATTTCTCAAATGCAGAGCTGCACAGAGCTCTCCAGGCTGCCCAGGTAGACTGCCACACAAAGGTTTAACGCTATCACCACGATTACATTTGACTGATTGAAGTCCTGCCTGCCAGAGGCCTTAACCGCGGTGTTGCGTGAGTTCAGGCCGGAAAGAATACACTCTTCTTCTGTCTGGTCTCATTTTCAGCAACACGAAAATGCTGAAATGACAGGCTCGGTGGACAACATTTCTGGTGATGACACACACTTAAGCCTGCAACAATGGCAAGAGAAAAATGATCTGAATCAAAGATGCCCTTTCTTTACCTCGCCTTCCCAATCTTGGGTCCCCCTCCATATAAAGTTCGAACAGTCCTTTGGAGCAAAAATGCAAATAAAATTTTTTATGCTTCTTAACAGAAAGTCAGTTAAAGTTTATACCAATTTCACCAAACACCTGTGATCTGGGATTCACCTGTGAATTTCTCAAACAGTACAGGGAAAGACTAAGTATGAGCTGAACGACCGGAAGGCATACAGAAAATACAATAAATGGCTGGGCACAGTGGCTACAATCCCAGCGCTTCAGGAGGCCGAGGTGAGTGGATCACCTAAGATCCGGACTCAAGACCAGCCTGGCCAACATGGCGAAACCCCATCTCTACTAAAACTACAAAAAATTAACCAAGCTTGGTTAATTTTTGGTGATGGGGACCTGTAATCCCAGCTTTGGGAGCCTACAGCAGGACAGTTACTTAAATCTGGGAGACAGAGGTTGCAGTGAGCCGAGACTCACTGCACTCCAGCCTGGGCAACAAAAAGTCTCAAAAGAAAAGAAAAAGGAACACACCTTGACTTGGTAAATTGTACCTGAATTTAGAAGGTAAATTCGTTTTCTTCTTTAACTCTGTTTCTGTGAGAAGCAAATGGAAAAGGCGATCTACCTGTATCAAGCCTAACAAGGAAGAAGAACTTAAGTCTTCTGAAAATTATTGTTCTCTGAATTCCTATTCTGTCAGGGCCAGAATACAGACCTAAACATGCCTAGACAGTAGTCAGTGAAGTTTTTCACCCACTTCAGGCCAGTACAAAGTCTGGGGTCAGGGCCAGAGAAATGTGTGTAATCTGAGCACTCTCAGTCCCATAACAGCCCCCAGGGCCTCTCTTTTGTCAATATGGATCCACTAACAACTTGGTGGGGATTCCGCTTCTAGCCATGACAGCGCAGCAAGAACCACAAGTAACAGCTAAAACGAAATAAAGTACGGGTTCGGTAGTAGCCTGAAATTCTGGGAACCAGAAGTGCTTCGGATTTTAGATTGTTCTGGATTTGGGAATATTTGCAAATACTTAGACTGGGCATCCCTAATCCAAAAATCCAAAATGCACCAATAAATACTTCCTTTGAGCTTTAAGCATGCCAGTAATCAAAAATTGTCAGATTCTGTAGCAGTTCAGATTTTGAATTGGGGTACTCAACTTTCTTTTTTTTATTTTTTAATTGCATTTTAGGTTTTGGGGTACATGTGAAGAACATGCAAGATTGTTGCATAGGTACACACGTGGCAGTGTGATGTGCTGCCTTCTGCCCCATCACCTGTATCTGGCATTTCTCCCCATGCTCTCTCTCCCCAACTCCCCACCCCCCACTGTCCCTCCCCTATTTCCCCCCTATAGACCCCAGTGTGTTATGCTCCCCTCCCGCTGTCCATGTGTTCTCATTGTTCAACACCCACCTATGAGTGAGAACATGTGGTGTTTGATTTTCTGTTCTTGTGTCAGTTTGCTGAGAATTATGGTTCCCAGGTTCATCCATATCCCTACAAAGGACACGAACTCATCATTTTTGATGGCTGCATAGTATTCCATGGTGTAATATGTGCCACATTTTCCCTGTCCAGTCTATCATCAATGAGCATTTGGGATGGTTCCAGGTCTTTGCTATTGTAAACTGTGCTGCAATGAACATTGGTGTGCATGTGTCCTTATAGTAGAACGATTTATAATCCTTTGGATATATACCCAGTAATAGGATTGCTGGGTCAAATGGAATTTCTATTTCTAGGTCCTTGAGGAATCGCCACACTGCCTTCCAGAATGGTTGAACTAATTTACACTCCCACCAAGAATGTAAAAGTGTTCCTATTTCTCCACACCTTCTCCAGCATCTGTTGTCTCCAGATTTTTTAATCATCGCCATTCTAACTGGCGTGAGGTGGTATCTCAATGCAGTTTTTAGAGAAATGCAAATCAACTTTCATACAAAACAATGGTCTTCAGAACAAGGACAGCAGCAGTCAGGGGCTATGCTCCCCGAGGAAAGGGAGGCAAAGTTGAGTCAGCCACCCAGGAAATGGCTGATGTAGCCTCCCAGGCTGCCTCGAGGAGGAGGGTCTGAGCCAAAACCAGAGGGTGGTCTCACCAAAGTGGGGAAAGAGATCAGAATTCAAAAAGAACAGAACACCTAGAATCTTCAGGGTGGAGTACAAGGGAGGAAGAGCCTACTCAGAGAACACGCTGGGCACCTCCAGGACGGTCCCTGTGGTTTCTGCCTAACTGCTGAGACGGTGCTTGAGAAGGAACTCCCTGAGGTCAAAGAAACGTCCCAGAAGTAGGAGGCCAAATAATTCCTCAGCACAGACAGAGCTCGGAATAGTCCCTGTTCTCACCAGCCAGAGTGGAAAGATCTCCTAATGCAACATTCATCAGGTGGAAGCTCGGAGCTGCCTTTCATACACATACATTTAATACACACACACACACACATATACACATACACACACCCTTATGAAACAAAGACACTGCCTAAACAGCAGGACTAAACCATCCCTGGACTATAACCCATTTTTAAAAGGCATGCCTTGAAAGGATACACATGATTTCAAGAAACTCAACCTGCACCAGAACAAAGCCCAAAACTGTTTTTTAAAAGACAACATAATCTAGCACTCAATGACAAAACTCTGAATGTCTAGGATCCCATTCAAAACACGTGCACACACATAAGTAGAGAACTAGAACCCACAATCAGGAGAAAAATCATTCAACAGAACCAAAGCCAAAAAAGTAGAGATGATTAAAACAAGGGGACTGGGACATAAAAACAGTTCTTATAAACACGCTCCATATTCGAGAAGAGAGACGAAAACCTGCACGTGACATGGAAAATAGAAGATACTTTAAATGGCCCTTGGATCATAGAGCTGTGAAATGCATGTGTAAAGTAAAGAAATACAACCAATATGATGTACAGATTAGATGCCGCAGAAGGAGAAAACAGCAACAATGAGAAAATAACATTTTCAAACGAGCAGGGCACAGAAACACAAACAGGCTGAGGAAAATGAGCAGGACTCCAATGGCACATGTGCCGCACTGCTCAAGCAGCACACGTGCAATTGGAACCCCAGAAAAAAGGGAGGAAGGAAAAATAGCTGAAGAAATATTCAGTGACATTTCCTCAAATCTGATGAAAAATCTATACAAGGTAAAACAAGGTTAATCGTCCCTAATCCAAAATGCTCCAAAATCTGTGCACCAACATGATGCCACAAGTGGAAAATTCCACACCTGACCTCATATGACAGGTCCCAGTTGAAACACAGTCAAAGATTTGTAACATGCACAAAATTATTTAAAATATTGCATAAAATTTCTTGTGGGATATATGCATAAAGTATATATGAAACAAAAATGAATTCCATGTTTAAACCTGGGTCATGTCCCCAAGATATCTCACACACACACACACACACACACACACACACTCCAAAATCTCAAAAAAAAAATCCAAAATCAGAAACACTTCTGGTCCCAACCATTTCAGATAAGGGACACATAACCTGTTCTCACAGATGCAAGAAGCTCAGTGAAACCCAAGCAGAAGAAACATAAAAAGAAATAATCAAATCACTGAAAACAAGAGACAAAGAGAAAACCTTAAAGTGGCCAGAGATGGCAAAAATGCCAGATTACATAGAGAGGGACAAATTTAAGAATGACGGCAAACTGATCTTCCGAAATTATGCGAGGCAGAACACAATGGAACTACATTTTTAAAAAGGAGGAAAAAAGGTCAACCTAGAATTCTATAAGGAACAGAACATCTTTTCAAGATGCAGGTGAGAGAATGGCTGTTCATAAAAAAACAAATGCATGACAATTCAGATACCAGCAGACCTGCATTTGACAAATGATAGTACAAATTTTTCAGGTATAAAAAAAATGATACCCAGTGAAAACTAGGATCCACACAAACGAATGAGGATTTCAAGAAACAGCAAATATACAAATAAATGTAAATTCTGGGTTTTTTTTTTTTTTTTTGAGACAGAGTTTCGCTCGTTACCCAGGCTGGAGTGCAATGGCACGATCTTGGCTCACCACAACCTCCGCCTCCTGGGTTCAGGCAATTCTCCTGCCACAGCCTCCTGAGTAGCTGGGATTACAGGCACGCACCACCATGCCCAGCTAATCTTTTTTGTATGTTTTAGTAGAGATGAGGTTTCACCATGTTAACCAGGATGGTCTCGATCTCTTGACCTCGTGATCCACCCACCTCGGCCTCCCAAAGTGCTGGGAATTCTGGGTTTTTAAAATCTCTTTAAAAGGTAACTGACTGCCCAACATAAAAATGGCAACACTATATTTTGGAATATATTACATATGTAGCAATAATGCAACAAAAAAGGGGATGAGAAAAATTGAAGCACACTTTTGTTAAGGTGCTTATTCGGCACACGAAGTTGTATTACATTACGTGAATGCAGACTATGATAAGCAGAAGTATGTACATTACACACCCTAAAGCAACCACTAAAAAAGAAGAGAAATAGCTAACAAGCCTATGGGGTAGACAGAATTTTAAGTTGAAATCATTAAAAAACATGTCCAAATGATTGAAAAGAAGCTATGGAAGATGGAGGAGGGGCAAAAAGAATGAACTGGTGAGCAGCCAATGAACAGCAAGATGGTATACTGAAACCCAGCCATATGAATAATTACACTAAACGTAAATGGTCTAAACGCTCCAACTGTACAAAGATATTGTCAGATTAGATTTTTCTAAAGCAAGAGACCCAACTGTGTTGTCTACAAAAAACACTTGTTAAATGTAATGACAAGAATAGGTTATGTGCAAAAGAATGGATAAACAGTTACCACAGAAACACTCATCAAAACAAAGCTGGAGTGGCTATTCTAATATCAAATAATTTCAAAACAAGAAATATTACACCAAAACTAAGGAAGGCCATTTCATAAGGGTAAAGGTTAATTCCCCATGAGGATGTTAAAATTCTAAACATGTGTGCACCTAGTGAAATCAAGTAGCAGAGATGAAGCAGAACCAACAGAACTGAAAGGGGTAATAAACAAATCTCCAATTATAGCTGGAGATGACAATACTCCTAATAATTTTTAGAATAGGGAAACAAAAATCAATAAGGATATAGAAGCCTTGAACAGCATTATCAACAAACTCTACCCCACTGACATTTAAAGAGCACTCCACCCAGGAACCACCGAGTATACACTCTCTTCAAGTGTACACAAACATTCACCAAAGTAAGCCAAAATATGGGACATAA